AGAAACAACTGTGATTTTATTCTTGCAGTGTTCAATGTGAACAACATTCCCAAGATTTCCAGTTTTTCCATTGACTTTAACTTTCTCCCGTAGAAACTGTTCAAAATTTCCAGAATCAAAAATACCATCTTCTACTGGATGAGTAAGGTCCAAACCAAACTTCCAGACTGACTGACTTCTTAGGCTTCTTGACTTTCTGCGGCGCCATCTTGAAGACAGGCTTCAGAATATTTTTTCAGTCTCCTAATCTCTTATATCCTGCCTATCTCTGATAAGACTGCTGATGTTCTGTACATAGGTAAAATGCATGCTAAGTGTGGTGGTAGCACCTTTCTGTGTGAGCCACACATTAAAATTATGACTCTAATAATTGAGCTTTTGTAAAGAATGACTTTAAAAAATAACAACAAAAATATCTTTGAAATCACTTTACACTTTTAACACAACTCAATTGGGACTAGCCACATTCCAAGTGCTCAACAGCCACATGTGGTTAGTGGCTATATTGTATTAAACAGTGAAATTCTAGCTAGTGCTGCTATAAGAAGGCAGAACCTGACTGTCTTTCAGCCTGCGTCCCTGAATGTCTGAGTGGAGCAAAGCTCCCTGAGGATCCCTGATGGACAGTAACATGAGCAAGAAATGAACCTTTGTTTATTTGGGCTTTGTCTCTTAACAGCTTCTAATTACTTACTCTGACTAAGCTCCCCCTAAAGTTTGAGAGACATTGAATTATAAACTGTAAAAAACAAAGCATAAACACCAGTTAGGCTCATATTAAAATGCAATTTTATTTTTTTAAATTTACTTTTTATCTTTAAAAAAATTTAAATTACAGTTGACATACAATATTATATTAGTTTCAGGTATACAACATAGTGTAAAATTCAACTTTAATAGCAACTTTTGAGTTAGGGAGGAGGGAGAGACCCTAGAGAACGCATGAGGGATTTGTCACTGTTTGGATGAGGGCAATGAGTGACAGAGAAATCTAGCCTTCTCAGATGAGTAGGTGATGTTATTTGAATAGATAAAATAGGTGGTAGGAGAAGCTAGTTAGGTAGTAGAGCTAGTGAGTTTGGATTTGTCTCTGTTGATTTTGGGGTGTCTATGGATTCTTGGTTCAAAGTTGACATCGATACTGTCTGCTACATAACAGGTCAGATGTTGATGTTCTTACTTTCAAGGAACCACAAACTGGTTTAATAGATAATGCCAATATAGTATGTAAGAATAGTGATAAACGATACCCACAGTGCTCTTGGAGTCCAGAAGAGAGGGATCTAATCTAGGATTACTGGAGTGATGGCTCTGAGAAGGCTCTCTAGAAGAAATGATACCTAATTAGAGTCTTAAAGCATGAGCAGAGCAGTGGGGATAGGACAGAGTGAGGGAGGGCAGGTTCCTTATTTTATTTATTCTAATAAAATACTGCATACTGGGTGACTTATAAACAATAGAAATTTATTACTTACTGTTCAGGAGGCTGAAAGTCTGAGATCAAGGTGCCAACATGATTGAGTGAGGGCTTTCTTCCAGATCGAAGGCTTTTTGTGGTATCCTCACCTGGCAGAAGGGGTGAGGGAGTTCTCTGGGGTCTCTTTCATAAGGGCACTAATCACCTCCCAGTGGCCCCACCTCTTAATCTCATCGCTTTGGGGGTTAGGTTTTAATAGATGAATTTTGGGGGCAAACATTCAGACCATCACAACAGGGTATGAATAGAGGAATGGGAGGGGAGAGGTGATAAAGGCACTCAAGGTAGAGGGGACCACGTGATACAGGCCCTGAGGTCAAGAGCAGCATGGTGGTCGCAATAAGAATTTCACTGTGATTGCAGTGTAAAACATCAAGGAGGAAGTGGCATGAGATAGAGCAGGGGCAGGAGCAGGGCCGGATTATGGAGGGCACATTTTGTCCTGTCTAATTTTGTGCTACAGATGTTGGAGGATGAATTGAGGAGGACTGAGGCACCAGCAGCAAGGATAGGCGGGAAGCTGTTGCAATAACTGAGGGGAAAAATGAGAAAAGATGAAATCCTGAACCTGCACAGGGAAGTGGTTAATTTGAGAACTTCAGGAAGTTAGTGAGTTTTGTGATGTGTGGGTGTTAGGACTGAGGAAGAGAAAGAGGGAAGAGTCAGGGATGCCTCACAGATTTCTAGCATAGATGATTGAGTGGGTAATGGTGCTAACTGGGGAAAATGAAGATAGAATAAAAACAGTGTTTATCAGGGGAAGGGAGACTTGGAGGGCAACTGCCTCTCCCCACCCATAAAAATTTCCAGGAATACAATCTAGTGGGAAACAAAGGTTCAGGACTGTGGATATATATATATATATATATATATATATATATATATATATATATATATCCTTTTCTGGCCCTCCCTTCCAAAACAAAACCAAATTTTTATTTTCTCCGTCACCGTTCAGGGAAAACTGAGTGATGAGCAGCAGGATTTAGTGAGGGGTTTTAAAGCATAAAGGCTGTGAGAAACTTTCAGTGGCAGCTGCCTGTGGATCTCTTGTATAAAGGTTATGACAGGAGGTGGCAACAAAGATCAAGATGTAAGCACGCAAATGACACTGAAAGGAGAGAGGCTGGAGAAGTCGACCTCCGGGTTTAGAATTGGAGAAGCAGAGAAAAGCCATGGGCCTCTGGGTGGGGCTGGAGCATGTGGGAGAATGGGGTACAGAAAATGGTTTTTCAAGAAGCAGGGAGCCTGTGGGACCAGCCTGAGAATTTTTAGGGGCCTCCAGAAGTAGGACAAGACAGCATGCTGGGCCATGATGTGGAAAAATGGTTGACTCGAAACTTGACACTACTCTGGAATTGAATGTGATTCAGTGTTTATTTTACTTGGGCTGACATTTTCTCATACTTCAAGTTTGTTTCACCCCAGTGGCAATTTTCTGTGTTCTGGGGTGCACTGGATCAGAGGCTGAGAAAAGGGGTTGTCCTAGGGGTATGGCCTGAGGAAGAGGAAAACATTCCTTTCTAGATCCCTGCCTGGCATTAATTTTTGAAAGAAGCCTGAGTTTGGGGAGAGACTGGATATTCTAGTCTGAAAACTATGTCTTCTCCCAAAACTTCCTCCTTCCTGTCAAACCTCAGGTCATATTTTTTAAGAAGGTCTTTTTTATTCTCTGAATGATCTTTAATAATGACATGCCATTTTCCCAGGGCCATTATTTTTATTTGCTTAATTCACTTTGGAATACTTGAATCCACAGCCTTGGCTAATAGTAGGAGAGCCTTGGTCTTCTACTGTCTTGAAGGCATATAAAATTGAGAACTTGGACTTGGATGGGTGGAGGGGGTGTTGTTACTCAAAGGCGTGTTTTGTTTTTACTCCATGAGAGAATTTGCATACTCCTCCAAAGAGAGAAGAGCTGAGCTGCCTGAAGTACTTTTAATGAGAAAAAATAAGGAAACAAATTTTCTTCCCAAACTTTATTATTACAAATTGTTTTTATTACAAGGGTTTAACAGAGTAGAGAGTCACACTTGTTGTCTCTCTTGTGAAACCTCAAGAATTTACAAAATTAAGTTAATAAATATGAAATTAAGTATAGTTTTTTTTTTCCAGCCATGTCATGTACTGCTAACAGACAAAGAGGAGAAAATCCTGTAGTACAAATTCAGAAATTTTCAACTGCCATTTAATCCTATATAGGATTTCCCTAAGCAGAACAGATAATCATACAATTTTACCTTTCTCTTAAGACTTAAGGCACATAAATAGATCCATAAATAGCTCATATAAATATAGGTTTTACCTTTTAAATAATAAAATTTATAAGTCTGGCATACTGCCTGCTTAAAAAAAATACAAAATACAAAAAAAAATACAGAATTCATTAAAAAATAAATTTGGGGCCTAAGATTCTCAGGGCCTTTTAAATACATAAATAACTTAAAGCACTTAGAAAAGCAAACAAGAAGAAAATTGGTACTCAGCCTAAACATTCCTCCTTAGGGAGAGGGAAAAATGATTCAGATTCCATCTCTGAATCAAAGTGTTATCTCTGAAACTTCAATTGAATGAACTTGCTTAAGAACCCTGGTGAGTTTTGTCAGAAATGGGGCTGGGTCTACTCCCCAGAAAGCCTTAACTGATTCGGGGAACTGGAGTTAGACCAGAAACTCTTAAGCCTCACGGACCATGGCTCTGACACAGGTACAGCCCACATCCACCATCATCTTCTCCAGCTGGAAGGAATGGGGGCAGTGCTGAGGCTTTCTTCTCAGGACCAGGATCTCTTGCTGGATGGGAACAGAGTTCAGGTGGTGGTCTAGGTTTCCTTCAGCATTGACACAGAACAAGTAGCGGCACTTCGCCTCCCAGATCACAGGGGGATATCTGTCAGGGTCCTCATTGGGCCTACAAAGGAGACAAAAGCCAGGGAGAAAGTGAATTACTGGTAATGCAGAGGGAAATCAAACAGGAATAATCTCAGGGAGAAAAATTCACAGGGTGACAAATTATAGGCATTGCAAATTCTCTAAGAGCTGTTAGCCTGAAAAAGAAGTAGTTTCAGAAAAACTTGGATTTTTAAGCACGTGAAATGTTTTAGACAAAAAACAATAATCTTTTCCTCCCTAATTTCTTTGAAGAATGAACAAAATAAGATAGATAGGGACTACAGAAGGGATTTAAGTTTCACACAAAGGATAATTTTTTGGGAGGGTACATTTGATAGATGGAAAAAGACCAAGGGAATCATCCAGGAATAAGACAGCTGTTAATCTGATCTAATGAATCCTGTCTTTGAAACATGGAATACATCAAAATTTTATCTGAGAGCACATTCTTAGAATGGAGCCCAGAGCTGATATGAAAGGCTGGAAACAAAAGCTTAAGCCTCTCTATAAGCTCCTCTTTTCTTTCTCCTCCAGCTGAGTGAATGATTTGCTTTGAGTTTGAGTTCATTTATTTGAACTATTCTTAGTAATGGGAAGAGGAGAAGAAACCCTACAGTCAAGTGAATCTGTAGGCACCACACAACTGAAACTTATTAGCATAAAATCAAGTTATCAAAATACATTTGGTGTTTAATTCTTCATGGGGTCTAAATACTAGATATACCAAGGACACAGCAAATATAGGGCTGTTGGGGATATAGATTAAGACTAACTTAAAAAGAGATGGAAATACCCAATATGATACTTCCTCCACTGGGATTCAAGCTATATTTTCCCAGTGCTAATCAGACACACACACAAAAAATTCCAGTTAGTTACTAGTTATTTTCAAGAAACCTTCTCAATAGTATCTCTGGTAAAGAAAGAAAATTCAAACATTAATCCTCTATAATAGTGTCTATTTTTAAAAATAGACTTGGGGTATCATAAAGATTAGAATGATGACCACTATTAATTTGGGTGGGTTTTTGGTGTCAATGACAATGAGATCTAATAAGATAGGAATTGGGAGTGGGGATATCCTGTGCTCTATCAAATAAGTTTATAGAATGAAAGTTTGAGAATCATTGTTTTGCACAATGGCCCTTACAGGTTTGAGTAAACCCGAAAGTGAGTAAAATCACCCTCGAGGTGATTTAACGGGCAGCCTGATGCACAAAAGGTAGAAGAATACATTTTTTTCATTTTTCTGGGGCCTTACGTACTGGAGATTCCAAGGTGAGATGGATCGGTTGTGGTAATCGAAGGGCCTTCTGGGATTCGTACCCCGGTTAAGAATGTTTAGGTTGATCTTCACACTCTGAGGAAAGCTGTTGTCCTCGGTGTTTGGGCATCCTGGATTTTGTGGGATTATTACTCTTGCCTTCACTATAGCCAGCAGACTCACCAGCAGCAGCAGCGACTGGAGCTGAATGGGAAAGGAGAGAGAGGTGAGAGGCTGGGTTAATAGGTGGTTTTGTTAACAAATTTTGATGATTGTATTTCTAATCATAGAGAACATACTATGTTCCAGAGCAATCTATTCTAAAATTTCAGATCAGTTAAATGAAAAACTGATTAGGTGACCAAAAGAATGTTAAGACCATGAAGTTTTTACCAGTCTTGAACATTCTTTTGATTTAGGAAAGATACATTACACATTGGCTGGCAGTAATTTTAGTAAAAATGGCAAGTCATCACCCTGTCAGTACACGCATCATTGCCAGATCATTGAGGGTAATATTGACCTTGATATTCTAGGAGGAAATGCCTTCCTTCACCATTGTTCTCTGTGCTAGCAGTCTGTGAAACCCTATGTGAAGTCAAATGTGCACTTACGAAGAAAGGGCCATAGAAAATCCATGTGGTATCAGTGTTTGTGTTAGAAATGCACTTGGTACCCTGGAAAACATCCAACCAAACACTGGGTCCCCTTTTGTTTTTGTAGGCATATTTTACAGTTTTCTAAGTTTATGTGTATTGATTCTGTAATCAAATTACATTTCAAAAAAGATATTTTAAAAATATAAGGCCTGTATACTCTAAACCACAGTTATACATGTATCTGATGAGAACAAATGGGTTTGGTGTTCCAAGACTATGGTATGATAATAGGATAATGGAAAGAAAAGTCATTGCCACAACTTATGAAATCCTCAAGGATAACGACCCATCTTATTTTGGATTAAAGAAAAATTCTGTGGGAGAATTATATGAAATCACTTATACTCAGAAAAATAGATAAATATTCTTTCTTACTGCACAACATTATGTGATATTTCTTGTGTGGTTTAGCCCCAATATAGCTATCTTTCAGTTTTAATCTCATCTTTCAAACTGATGTGTATCAGTTCTTGAAAATGCTATACAATGACAAGTCTCTACCAAAGCTTTCATTTCCTATTCTACATAACCAGTCTTCTTGCATCTCCATCGTTAGAATCCAGAGTTTCATGCCCGCAGGCCAGAAGTATTAACTGGTCCCAATCTACAAGAGCAATGCACATGAGTGCAGGACTTACCACCGACGAAGTTCTCGCAGGAGCCATTGCAGTTTCTCTTGATTAACTGGAGATGGATGAGCTTGTACCTGCTGCAAGATGGATAAAGTGCAGTGCTATCTTCTCTCTTTTTATAGGACTTAGCTCCTTCTGTGGTCACTTACGTTGGCGTGTCAGTGGGTTCAGGGGTGACACCATTTTGGTTAAAAGTTCCATCCCCAAATGAGGTCACAGAAGAACCTCCCTTTTTTGATGGTTAATATGTGCTTGATATCATGAAGGAAACTGGGAAGGGCAGAAATTCATGTTTCTAATGACTATGTCTTCAAGGAACTATTACTTGTCAGAAACTGGGCAAAGGTGCTTTACTTATGAGTGATTTATTTATGCACATATATGAAGCTGCCCTAGGAGCTATGCTCTATTTTAATGGCTCATGAGAAAATAAAAATTTGACATAGCATACAAGTTTTCTGGTGCTATGTGCCTTGATTTCCATTTGATAATTCCTTTCCTTACCATATTCCCTAGGCAGATGTTGTGGAGACCATTTCAGAAACTTCTTAAAATCTCACCATATAAACAAACAAAAAATGAATAAATAATTAAATGATGACAGGACATATTGTTTTATTGAATTAACAGCTGCTTTGTTGAATGTCTACTCTGCTAAGGAATTAATAACTAAGTTCAAGAGACATGCGATTTACTATCAAAGGCATGTCTAACCAAGCAACTTGTTAACTCATGCAATTCTTTAGGAGGAATGAGATGGAGATGAAGGAGTGAGGAGGTGTAGACAGACAATGGAAGGAATTGAAAATGGAGATAGAGACTGAAGGCAGGAGAAGGAGGTAGAGGACAGAAGGGCAATGAAGAGCGAGAATGATAAGAACAATAAGGGAGAGGAGTGAGGGGTGTAAAGAAGAAAAAAGAGAGGGGCCGGCTGAGTGGCGCGATGGTTAAGAGCTGGCTTGGGACACCAGAGGGCCCTGGTTTGGATCCCATATATGAGGGCCAGTGACACTGCCCTCCACAGCTAAGATGCTGAACAACAGCTCAACCTGGAGCTGGGCTGCTGTGAGTCACCGGCGACGGTGTAGGCTGCAGCCCCTGTGGCAGTGGGTTGCCATGGGCTACCGTGTGTAGCTAGCAGCCAGCGTGAGTGGCCAGCAGCCGCAGTGAACGGCCGTCCAGAAGCCGGCGACTGATCTGCCTCGCCCGGGAAGAGCGCAATGATGGTGCCAACTTGGGCCAGTGAAGCAACGTCCTCCACAGCTAGACTGAAGAACAAAACGACAGCAACTTGTCTGTTCCCCTTCCCCCAATTCCCCAGCACTGTTCCCATCCCCCCAATTCCCCAATAAAAATCTTTAAAAAAAAAAAAGAAAAAGAGAAAGAAATGGTCCTCTCCTTTCTTTTCTCTCCACTGTCTCAGTGAGATGGACTTTGATGTCAGGTCCTTGAGAATAACTCCTGCTCAGGAACACTGAGGACCAGCCCAAGAATGATAAAGATGAGGGGTCAGTGGGCACAGATGTGGCTGGTAACATGTCACCCTCTCTCTGCCCTTCTCCCCAGTGAGGTCAACAATGGCTCCCAGGTCCTCTCAGCTCATGTCTCATATTATACATGGTAATACAGGGAGGCTGGCTAGCAGTTTTAACTCAACAGTTGCTGTGTATAAGAAATTTGCTGAATTTTGGGCCTGTTTGTCTGAAATCTATTACTCCTTACCCTGATCTGCTCTGTATCTCAAGCTGCTGAGCCTTCAAGCTGTTTTCTCCGACTCCCTGGTAGGGGTTTAGCCAGACGGAAACTGCAGGGCAGAAGAGTGGGAGTGGAAAGGAAGGGGAAGGGGAATAAGGGGTCTTCTCACTCTGTTTCCTAGAGCACTGTTGCTCCCTTTGTCCCTCCAGCTTTAGGATGATATTAGCCTCTTGTTGATGCCAATCTCAATTACCATGGAAACCAATTTCTTGCATTAAATTCCTTCTGTTTGCAAATGTCTGCAGTGACTTCTGTTTATCTGGCTCAATAGATCCTGACTTATCAGTGAGGGGGGCCATGAGCAGCTGAATCTTGGTGATCGTAGATGATCTTGTTAGGCAAAGCAGATGGAGATAGCAAAGGAAGTAAGATGCATCTTCTCCTGATTTTCGTGGTTTTTCTCAGGCTTATTAATCTTGCTTCTTTGAAGGCGTGGAAAACAGATATCTACAAGTAATGGGGAACTACAAATTGGCAGTTGGGAGCTGGGTAAGGAGGGGAGAAGACAAAGAATGGAGACTGGGAAATATTCCTGAGAGCCAAGCATGCATTTCAAGGGATAATACTCATAAAATGTATGTGGGTTTCTTGATTTAGGAAAATGATTTTCAAGGCCCTTGATGTTATTAGTTCACCAGACAGTATTTCTTTCTACTTGTAATAGAGAATAATATGGGAAATAGAAGAAACATTTCTTCATTTTGTATCCAGGAGAGAATACTGAGGAGTTGTTTGTCTTGATGTGGTGGAAAATTAAGACTGCCATTAAAAATTAAAATAGAAGCAACCATTTATGATAAAACTCTTAGCAAAGTGGGAATAGTGGGGTCATATCTCAACATAATAAAGGTCATATATGATAAGCCCACAGCAAACATTGTACTCAATGGGGAAAGGCTAAAAGCTTTCCCCTTAAAATCAGGAACAAGACAAGGCTGTCCACTTTCACCATTTCTATTCAACATAGTTCTTTAAGTTCTGGCTACAGCAATCAGACAAGAAATTGAAATAAAAGGCATCCAAATTGGAAAAGA